GTGAGGTAAAGCCCAATTTGGAAGCCAGCAGGATTGGCTAGTATGGGGATTTAAAACATAGCCCTATTGTTAGCACCACGCTCTAACCATCTGAGCTGAATGGACACAGGACCTTCCAAAGCATCATACAATATGTACGATAAGGCTTTAGTTTCCTCGGTCACTGGGTTCATTTCTGAGGAAGATAGGAACTGTATAAGTCTGACGGGTTCCAGCTGAACTGGAATGGGACCAATTTCCTTGAGGAGATTTGCTAAATGTAGTTGGTGGGGTTTAAAACTAACTTGGCAGGGGTGTGGTATATGAAATGGAAGTACAGTAGGGGATGATGCACAGACAAGTAGAGAAATCAGATTAGAAGGTTGTGCAAATATTGTCAAGTTAAAGCACAAGGAAACATGACAAGGTTGAATGGCATTTATTTTAATGCAAGGAGTCTTGCAAGTGGGGCAGACAGGTTGAGGTGTTGATTAATACATAGAGATGTGAGATCATTGCTATCACGGAGGGAATTATTGTAGTAAGGAGGGATGACATCTTAGAAGGTTTTTCAAATAAGGTTATATGGGTAGAACTTTAAAACAAAAAGCAGGTAATCAATCACTTTATCAGAGATATACTTCAGACCCGTAAACTGTCAGAAAGGCATAGAAAGACGACAGGTAGGCAAACCACAAAGTGCAAGAATAATAGGGTAATAACAACAGGGATTTCAACTTCCCCAACATTAACTAGTATAAACAGATTCTTAAAGGCTTAGAAGGTGCAGAATTCTTAAACTGTGCCCTTGAAAGCTCTTTAAGCCAGCACTTAAAGTCCTACAAGAGGGGGGTTGGCACCGTACCTAGTTTTAGGCAGCAAAGCCAGGCAAGTGGCAGATGAGGCAGCATTTTTATGATACTGATCATAATTGAGTAAGATTTAAAAAGGTCATTATGGAGAAGGACAAAGACGAACCAGAAATAATGTTTCTGAATTGTGGGAAGGCTGATTTTAATAAGATAGGATCTGATCAAAGTGAAAAGAGCGCAGCTACTTGCAGTAAAAGCCACAGGTCAGCGCAGGATAGTCATTCGGGGGGAAAAAAAAAGTGATTATAGTGAATGCAAGGCCAATATCTTCCCTTAAAATGTGAAGGGATGTATAGAATTGGATAAGAAAAAAAAAAAAAGAGCTTGGTGGTAAATACCACCGGCTCAAAACAGTAGATGTTCTACTGTATGGGAATGCAGGGGCTTACTTAAGGTAATACAATAAAAGTTACTGGCAGGTAACTTTAAAAAGCTTTTGGACTTTCCTTAATCAGTATATTAGGGGAAAGGGAACATCGAGAGAAAGGTAGGGCCATCAGGGACTAAAGTGGCAGTCTGTGTGGATCTTGGTTTTGAGTGAGTAATTTGCATCTGTAGTCACTGTAAAGAGGGACAACATAGGGATAAGAAATTGGGGAAGGAGAGGGACAATGTATTAGTGGTTTTATGGGGCAACACTTTGAAAGTTGTGATTTCAAATAAACCTGTTGAACTATAACTTGGTGTCGTCTGACTTTGTCAAGACAGGTGGCAAGGATAAATCACAAAACAAAAGGTCAACGAATCGAACATCTGTGGTAGGGAAACACTGGAAAAATTTCTGGTGGAAAGACTTAATCTCCACTTGTACAGCCAAGGATTCATCTAGGATAGACAACATGGCTTTGTAAGGACGAGCTCATGTCTAATAAATTTGACTGAATTTTGGGAGGAGTTGACTAGGTGGATAGATTGAAACATCAAAACCAGGAGTCAAGTAGGTCATTTGGCTCTTCAAGCCTGCTTCACCATTCAATAGGATGAAGATGAATGAAGAGGAGGATAGTGCAGTTGATGTAGCCTATATGGTCATCACCTCAGCTTTGGATAAGGTCGCAATGGCAGACTGGTTAAGAAGCTAAGAGCCCATGGGATCCAGGGTAATTTAGCTACTTGGATCCAAAATTGGCTTAGTGGCAGGAAGCACAGAATAGTGGCTGTTTTTTGCGAATGGTAGCCTGTGTTCAATTGCATACAGCAGGGTTCAGTGCTGGGGTTCCTTTTGTTTGTTGTGTACATTAATAATGTAGATACGAATTAGGAGGTAGAATCGGTAAGTCTGTGGACGACATGAAAATTGATGACATGGTAAACAGCAAGGAGGAAGCTTCAGAATACGGTCAGTCATTAGCACCCCTGTCTCCCAGCGCGAGTGACCCCGATTCAGTTCGCCCAAGGGCCGACGCTCTGAAAGCTTGTGATTTCCGATAAACCTGTTGAATTACAGCCTGGTGTCATCTGACTTCTGACTTTGTCCACTTCAGTCTAACACTGGCATCTCTGCATTACACCTTTCTTGAATAATGGTATTACATTAGCTGGCACACATCTTGGGTGCCTATGTGGAGTTTGCACGCTCTCCCCTGTCCATGTGGGTTTCCTCCCACAGTCCAAGGGTGTGCAGGCAAGGTGGATTAGCCATGGTAAATGCAGGTTACAGGGCTAGGTTGGGTAGGCTGGGTCTGAGTGGAATACTCTTTGGAAGGTGGTGCAGACTTGATGGACTCGTTAGCTTCTTTCCACACTGTAGGGATTCTACAATATAATGAGCTAAACAGTAGCAAATGGAATTTAATCCTGAAAAGTGAGGCAATGCATTTTGGGAGGACTAAAGGCAAGGGAGTACATATTGAATGTTAGAACCCTAGGAAGTACAGAGGATCAGAGGAACCTTGGTGTGCACGTCCAGAGATCTTTGAAGGCAGGAGAACAGATAGATAAGGTGTTTTAAGGCAGCATATTGTATCGCATACTTGCCTTTAATAATTGATCCACTGAATACAAGAGCAAGGAGGCTATGAAGAAGCTGTATGTACCATCAGTTAGGCCAGATCTGGAGCACAGGGAACAAGTGTGGGGACCAGAACATGGGAAGGAGGGTGCAGAGGAGATTCACTAGGACATCACTTGGGCTGGAGTGATTCAGCTGTTAAGGTGGACAAGATAGGCCGGTGTTGTTTTCCTTAGAGCACATAAGGCTGAGGTGGGAATTAATTAAAGGTGTACAAAGTTCTGAACGACATGGGGTAGTCAGGGAGAAACACTTCCTCTTCGGGTCAATAACCAGGGATCACAGTTTTAAGATAAGAATGAGGTTTAATAAGGATTTGAGGAAAGTATCTTTCACCCAAAGGGTTGAACGTATCTTGAACTCACCACCTAAAAGGGTGATTGAGGCAGGAACCCTCAAGATATTTAAGGATGAGTTAGATGAACGCTTGAAATATCATAGCATACAAAGCCATGAACCAAGTCCTGGAAAATGAGATTTAGAAAAGGTGGAATTTGATGACCATTGTCGACATAATGGGCCAAAGGGCCTTCTTCTGTGCTGTATAACTATAATGCTAAGTCTCTGAAACCTTGCATCTAAAGTAGTTCTTGATCAGCCAGAGACTCACCCATGTAAACAGAAGTAGCAGAAGAGCAGTTTTGCTCAATTCCATGAACGAGTACAAGATCCTATTTGTGCTCAAAAATCTCAGGGAAATATGAAAACAAACATGAAGCCCAGCTTCTCATGTTATAGACTATATTAAAGAGAAACTTTCAACACTGGCCAACATGATGTTTTCTGAAGCAGGGTCTTTGGCAGACCAAAGATCTTCAATGGCTAATTCGGAGCTAGATAAGAATGCTTCAGGAAACAGAGGTGGTGATGGGCACAAGCTAATTCCAGATTAAAAAGGGAATCAAGCAGGAGAGCACTGTTTTTTCCATGTTATTTAACACTGTCAGGAGAACAAGGATGGTGCAGCACATGTTACAGAAAGATATCATTGCATCATAGGTCATATCATATGGAATTAAGTGTGCAGATGATTCCATATTCATGACTAGGGCTCAAGACTATGGTAAAGCCAGTCAAAAAACACAGCAAGTCTTCTGAACTGAGCATTAAATTAAGTAAATACCAATATTAGGCCATAAACAGTAGTGGACAAGTCAAGACTTAAAGCACCAAGACAGAGGCAGTGGACAATTTCAAATCCCTTTCCACATTCATAAACACGAAAGTTACATCCAAAAATGAAAGCCAGGCTAGATTGGTTGAAAGAATCGAGCAGTTGCTTAAAAAGCATCTGGATACCAAAAAGCGTCAGCATAGAACTTCAGGAAACCTAGTACAGTTATTAGTGCACAGTGTGCAGTCTACAGAAGGAAAAGTTAGACTCTAAAGAGAGAGGATTGAAGGACATATTTTGGAATGCAGGAATTGCAACACACACTCAGAACCAGCCACTGGATGGAAAGACAAATGAGTTACAATAGTACCATTTTGGCATTTCATCAGCAAGCAAGCGATCTCAGTTCGCATCACAGTTAATGCAAAACGCGACCAATCCTGGCACTCGAAAAAATGCCCAGAAACTGCGAGATTGTCAAAACCAAAAACTGAACGGTTCATTAATGTCCTTTAAAAATTTGCACCAGTGGCCTAGATCTTAACTCAGTCCACACTGTCTGGGTGACTGTCTCCTTAAAGTAGCATAAACAAGGTATTCAGACGCAAAAAGACAAATCAACGTCACGAACAAGACAACTAGCATCCGACAAGTGCCAATTCTTCTTACAAATTTTCTAGAGTTAACTGAGGCACTGATTACTTCTTACAGAAAAACGGAATGAGCAAATTGCGTGGATTGCTTGATGACTTGGCTTCCGGAGACATCAGACACACGGCCCACCCCACCTCCTTGTGATAACAAAACAAACTTTCTCGGAGCACGGTCAGAGACCGAATTATTTGCGGCTCGTTACCGGAACATGTATAAACAAAACCGGCACACAGAACAGGCCCTGCCATCAACAATTGATGAAGAAAAAAATCCAAGGCATGAACTGCGCGAGACCCGGGCGGATGCCGCTTATGCTAATCCGAAATATGAGTAATAAACTGAAACTACTACCAACAACAACAGACACTACCTTTATCTTGTCGCCGATGCAAACAGTCGCCATACCGTTGACCACCGCCGCCCCTCTCGAGGGCGCGGGATCACTACTCAAACACAGACCACTTCACGCCATCTGCCTCGAGATACAACCTCCCCATTTTCAAAAAATCCGCCGTTTACACCCACAACGAGGCTCCGATGACGTCAATGATGGGTGGAGACGAAATGGGACAACAAACAAAAGTATATAGTTTCTAAAATAATAAGTGACGATAAAAAAAAATTAGGATGCATGCAAATACATATTCGACTTGGATTTTTGATTTTTCAAGAAGAATTCATGCCAAAATTCCATCTTGTGAACTGTGGCCCCGGCTACGGCGCATGCGCAGATTTGTTCATTGCCAGACGGTGGTGATGGTTTGTTTGGGGGATTGTTATGTTTGGAAACAGGATGTGTATTCTTGCACTGATTTCGGCCTGGGGGTTAATCTTTGTATGAGGAGTGTAAGATAGCTGTGTTTGATATTTGAAAACTTAGCAAAGCGGAAGTGCTGGTAATTTTTTTGCCTAATCTGAAGATTGTTCGGTGCAAAAGTCGTGTTTCTGAGGCAGAGTGTAGTTTTGCAGGAGCAGGTCTACGTACTTTGGTGGGCTGATTCTCTCCTCTGTTAATTGCTTTTGGAAAACTTACTAATATTGTTTAAATTGCAATGTCATTTCCTTGTTCTTTTATCAATGCTTCCTTTTCAGATTGCAGGGGGTCCTCAGTAATCTTTATCTATTTACATATTTATAGAAGCTCTTACAGCTGACTTTTATCTTCCTTGTGAGTTTATTTTCCACCCTCCTATTCAACCTGTTGGCCCTACTTTGCTGAATTGTAAACTGCTGTTAGTCCTCAGGTTTGTGACTTTTTCTAGTAACTTTATATGACTCCTCTTTGAACCTGCTGCTATCCTTGATTTCTTATATTAACCATGGTTGTTCACTTTTCTTGCTGTGTTTTGCATGCAGTTGTTCCTTAAATGCCAACTAGGGCCTATCCACTGTCTTGCTTTTTAATGAAGTTTCCCAGTCTATTAAAGCCAACTCACTCTCATACCTTTGTCGTTTCCTTTATTTAGATTTAGGATCTCAGTTTTGGATTGGATTACTTCACTTTCCAACCCAATGAAGAATTCTACCGTGTCACGGTCACTTTTTATTCCTAAAAGACATCTCATAACACCCCTGGTATGCACATTACCAAGTCTCTGAATAACTGTGCACAGCCGTCCAGTGTTTAGTTAGTCGCTTCCTTCTTCTGTAGTCTTCAGTGGTTGACTAGACCACTCTGGCAGCAGTACCAAATGCTGGCTGCTGTGCCCTCCTTAAGTCCAGTTCCAGCCCCAGCCTTCTGAATCCTTCATCCAGACTTTCTCAAATAAACGTCTGACAATCCATGAGTCCTTATCAAATTGTTCTTACAGGCGCTATGAGACTTTTAGACATTGTAGTGTGCAGGCTGTTTGTTCACCCTTCTGATGGTGTTTCCCACTTGTCATCAATCAAAGTATACTGTACATCAATCAAACTGCATCACTTGACTCTGTACCATAGTTTGACCACCCCAAACTTCCATTGTTCTGGCTTGTAGTTTAAAGGTCATTGAATAGAAAACGACTTTATTTTGGCAAATCTAACAAGAAGAGGGAAGGACAACAATTCAGACAAATCAAAATTGCAGAGGAGGCATTGAACAGGCGGAAGTCCACAATTAATACTGATTATGTAATTGTTTAAAAGTTCAATGTCTGCAAAGTAACTTTTTAAAAATTCAGTATAGGTTTAATACAGGTTCTCTTAAAATCAAAAGCAAAGTATAAATAAAATGCAAAATTATAGAATTTCAAAATTAGTGATTGCAGCATGTTCGTCTATAGGTAGTAATGAAGATTTGTGCTCCAGAACTAGCCACTTCCCATTTCCAGTGCAGCTATAACATTGACGTTTAACCAACAATATGAAAAATTCCCCAGCTTTGTCATATTTGCAGAAAACAAGATAAATCCAATCTAGCCAATTACCAGCACATCAAGGTGCTGCAAGGTGTCAGTGACAGTTGTCACAACTTACTGGGTGCGCTGGAAAGCAAGCTATTCCTGGAATCATGACAAATATGAAAAGCCTTGGTCAAACTACGTAAAGACCCCAACTTACCAGTCAAATACAGGTTAAAAGAAAACACTCAATAGGTTTCTGTATTAAAGAAAATAACTTTGGTTAAAGACAACTTGTTCATAATAATAACAATTAGGAAATATGAATTGCTAACTTAAATCCTTACAATTTAAACTCCATCCCTTAAACTTCCTTTCTTCACAGTCAGACACACAAAGACAGACAAGACATTAATGTTAAGGATGAAAGAAGGAAAAATACAGGAAACTCACTTCAATAGCACAAGTTTTCGATAAGTTGCTTGCTTTTTCTTCCTTGCAAATTGTCTTTAGTTGTTTACTGTTGACTCAAGATTTTTTGCATACCAATGCTTGCTTTCTTCCTCTGTAAAATTTATCCTTTCGTTATCTTTTGAGGCATTTTATTTCCTCCTTCAATATGAGATTTGCAAAGTTAGTGAATGTAAGACAGTTACCTGTTATAGGAGGCTTTCTACACAATAGAAAGCAACAGAGAGTGTTTTTTATGCATTGTTTTTGCATACTAGGCAATTCTGCATTACACTACTGGGCGGCACAGTGCCTCAGTGGTTAGCACTGCTGCCTCACAGCGCCAGGGACGCGGGTTCGATTCCACACTTGGGCGACTGTCTGTGTGGAGTTTGCACATTCTCCCCGTGTCTGCGTGGGTTTCCTTTGGGTGCTCTGGTTTCCTCCCACAGTCCAAAGATGTGCAAGTTAGATGGATTAGCCATGCTGAATTGCCCATAGTGTTCAGGGATGTGTAGCTTAGGTGGGTTATAGGGGGATGGGTCTGGGTGGGATGTTCCAAGGGTCGGTGTGGACTTGTTGGGCCAAAGGGCCTGTTTCCACACTGTAGGGATTCTATGATTCTATGATACCCGACACAAGCCATGGTCACCTGGCCAGGAGTCGCTGAAAAATGGTTTTGTCGAGCAGTTTTCCCTTAGCTCCGAACCCATTGACATCAGTTGTTTTCACTGTTCCAGAAAAATGCAACATTGTACGCAGCTAACAATTTGTTCCAGTAAACTGATTTTTTAAAAAAAACTGCAGTCATTTATTTGTACAATATCCTTGGTTTAAAAACAGTATCCTGCTTTTTAGTTCATAGTCCAAAAATAAAGGAAATAAAAGATGTGGTCTTTACCTGTCCTCTATCCTTAGGAAAGGCGAAACATCATTTCAAAAATGTGTTTCATCACAAGGCATGTGACACAGACAACAAAACATGAAACTTAAGTCCTGTTATGACACGGAGACAGACAACTGAACCAAATCAACCTTTCTGGCTCTGTATTTGCAACACGGTAACATTAAAGCTTTCAAAGTCCTCAAAATTGACTGCAACGGTTCCTAAACTTTTGAATAACGAATTCCAGACTCTGCAAATAATCAATTCCAGACACCAGTTTGTATCTTAAAAACAATTTATTAAACAATATAATAACTCTAGTAGAGCAGAATTACACAACAAAGTAATTTAATTGGTCTATGCTGTAAATCCAAAAATGTTTCTTTTTAAACCCTGTTTCAAAGACAGATAGACAAATAATAGAAAATAACAAAACTAGCCAGATTACTGAAGTGGTTTTTCATGACACGTTGTTCCACAAGATAATGGCTTCTCGGACAATTTTTCTGAAGATGTCAATCAGTGTCACCTTTACATTCGCTCAGATAAAGGCAGTAATACTTTTTACTTAGTTTTCTATTTTCTGAACTTCCAAAAGTTGGTAAGGCAGCTTAGGCAGGGAGCTTTCAAATCCTCATACGGTAGAATGGAATAGAATATCCTTTATTGTCACTTGTACTCCAGTACCAAAGTAGAGTACAGTGAAAAGCTTTTACGATGGCTGCCTTTTAATGGTGCCATCTTAGGTACAAGTTACTAGGTACAAATCTTACAGAGTAAAAAAAATAATGTTGTTATTACAGGCGGATTGAAAAGTAAGGATTTAGATTACAGTCCGGTAAGAGTACCAAACAGCAGCAGCTCAGCACGTGGCGCCAGGCCCAAATCCAACAACTGTCCCATATCGCTCTAGCCTCCAGTCTACTCCTCACTGGCACTCAGCAGCAACAAGGTAGGTTGAGATTTACCAGGATTTGCCTCCCTTGCGCTGCTCCAGGACATGGGATTCCCCACGCGGTGTTCCAGGACTTCAAGTCCACGCTGTATTCGTACCTTGCGCTGTACCGGCTTGTTCCCCACACTGCTCCAGGGTATATAGCCCACGTGGTGTTCCAGGGCTTGCAGCGGCTTGTTCCCCACACTGCTCAAGAATATGCAGCTCACATGGTGTTCCGGGTCTTGCAGCCTAAGCGCTGTACCAGCTCAATCCCCACGCTGCTCCAGGACATGCAGCCCACGCGCTGTTCAAGGGCACACAGTGGCACGTTTCTAGCATTAACAGCTAGATTCCTTTTCTCAGAAGTCACAGGCTAAAACCCAATTGAAACTCTGACCACTTCCTGACAGACTGATTGTTTCCTAAGCAACGTCCCAGTCCCCATACAACATCTGCCATCCACTTGAACATAAAGGCTTTTTGACTTTCTGGAACCAGTTCCCAGGTACTGATCTTGTAATAGCCAACTTCTGCTGTCTTTAAACATAATGTTCTTCCCCAGGCTATAAAGCATCTGTAGAACCTTTTGATCAGGAACCAACCTACATTTAATTTCCATGCTTGGCCACATGATTAAACAAAAGCTTGTTATGTCTGTTTTCCTTTTAACACAAGCTGTTACTCACAGTCTGAAAGTCAAATTTAGTTCACAGTTCCCAGTTTACAGCTCCAAACTAAAATTGATAAAAGAGTTTCAGCACTGTAGGGATTCTATGATTTTATAATAAAATAAAAATAATGAAAAGTCGGCAAGGGTTCTAGCAATCCATTGATCCTTTCTCTCCCCTTAGACAAGTCTTGTGGAATATTTTATCATGTCTTAAATCCTTAACTGATTTCATTTTACATTCAG